AAGTACTCTAAAACATATAAATAAGTTACCCGGGCAATTGATTTGCATTAGCCAATCAGACGAATTTCTGCCTATGACCCGTAAATACTGTAATACGTAATAAATTGAGTGATTACTAATCGATTTGTAAATTAATAATCACGTGACAAGATCTAAACAATTGAGTATGTGAAGTTAGATCCCAATCCAATTAATTGAGTCAAGCTACAATTGTTTATAGGCGATATAGGGGTTAATAATTGCAGAAATATTTACGTCATTATGTCCCATTGTAAAGAGACGTGTCGACACGTCTTTACAATGGGATATTTCTGCATTATATAACCAGCTGTCCACACAGACAGAAATTGGTTTGATTGGCTGATATAAATCAATTGCCCGTATGTACTTTTTTAGAGAACAGAAAATTACACAAATAAAATCGTAACAAACATTACCGAATAGCGTGGGCTAAAATGCCCCGAATCCAAGAATACTATACTGCTATACCTAGTGTTGGCACTGGAAGCCACTGGAAGACCACTGGAAGGCCACTAGAAGTAAAATTAAATAGTGCCACTGGAGCTTTTACTATTACAAATTCTCACTGGAAGATCAGAAATTCCCACTGGAAGCCAAAATTGCCAACACTGGCTATACCTGTCGACTTTTTTATATTTCCAGGTACAATACATTCATGAAGGTATTATGTATAGGACTTTAATCCAAGCTATACGGTATTTCTGGCTTCAAAAGAGTGCTGGAAAATTAAACCCAAATTTAATCTTTTATAATCTCATTCAGGGAGGTTAGCATTTCTGAAATAGGTAAAGCTTTGTCTGAATTTTTAGCATCATCGAAAGAAATAATCATTAACAAAATATGTAGCTGGTTTTTTTTGAGATTTCGAGTTGAGCAGTGAGACCCGGGACCCAGGTTTATTCCTACATTGAATTAGTGTTTAAAGTTTGGGTTTATAGATCATAAATGAGTTTGAATTTTATAGGTATGCATTAGATTTAATGGGTTCTGTAGTGAACATCACCTTTACTTCACTATAAATGTCTATCTACATAATTATTACAATGTTGGCGTTCTATTGTTCTATTGTTCTCTATTTATAAATGTTTTATTTAACCTTTTAATATAATGACATTTTTATTTAATAATTTAAAACAAAAACTCTTTTGTGTGTCAAAAATTCTCTATTGTTCTATTTAATTCATATATATATTTTTTTCTCTTCGAGTACTAAGCGCGTTAGTGTTAATCAAATATAGATTTATCAGTTATCAAACGGATCTAAAAAAAACTAACCAATCAAACTTCTGCATGTTGATTTGTTGATTTTCAAACTACAATATCTGAATATAACAAATCTTAAACTTAATACGTACGTACGTACGTAAACTTGTCCCATATCCAATATACGTATCCAATCTTAAATTTCAATCCCAAACATAATAAAATTTGTTCTAAATCCCAATCTCAAATTCAAATAATTTTCCAACAAATATACACTGATTATGCTGTAAAAAACATCTATATATTAATAATTTTTTTTCATGGAAATACCAGGCTTGGGGATTCTCGGTTAACTAGACCCAAAAAGCTAAATTAAAATCCCTATCCTGAGAATTAATTGAAGAATTAAAAATTCTACGTATAACGATAATTATTAAAATATTTTTAATTTTTAATAATGTAATAAAAGATATAAATATAATAAATATAGGTACATCGATAATACAGATCGTTTTATAATTATATTAATCATAAATTATATTATATATAAGCTTATATACGAATTATTAAACCCATTATTTAATAATTTAATGTGTATGTAATAAAAGATGACCGGCAAAATATTTCATTAAACTATTATTCTTTTTTTAATATTACTAAAATATACATATATGTAAAGGAAAAAAAAACAAATACCATCTTTATATAAATTATTATTACATAAAAAATTCAATTAAATAATTAATTTTTAGTTTTGTTTATAACGGTGATATGCATTGTTCGTATAAAAATTAAAAATCTAAGAGTTAAGCAATGTTTTCTAATCGCAAATCCCATTATTGATGAATTTTGATGATCACGAAAAAATCCGTAAAGTGTTGTTTATCTCACGGAAATGAATGGGAAACGGAACTTTTTTTTTTTGACACACTCGAATAATTCAAACTAAAAACTTGTATATACAAAAAACTAAAATTTCAAATATTTTATAGAAAGAGTTTTTTTTTTTTTTTTTTATAATTTCAAAAAAAAAAAAGTTTTTTAAAACCAAAGTATAAAAAGACTATTTACAGAAAAGTTTTTTTTTGTCAATGCGTTAAAATCAATGCACAAAAAAGAAACCAAATATTTATCCACCTTCAATAAATAAAATTGCAGTCGTCAGAATTTTTTTCGAAAAGACATTTCCGGTATCCATAATCAATAAAAGGCCTGCAGATACCAAAAACTAGCTATGTCGACAAATGCAGTGTGTATATATTACAAAGAGATGGTGAATTTGGTAGCAACAGCCTTAAATTTTTTTTTTGTTTTTTTTTTTTTTTTTTTTTGAACATGGAGATCGCCGTCTCTATGGAAATACCTTTCTTCAAGAAAGAGATGCAGAAGTTTTTAATGGTTCGACGCCTTCCATATCTATCATTTCTCGTTTTCGAATATCAAATTCTGGATTCGAACAGTTATTCCTTTTTATGCCAAGAACACCTTCTTCGACTTTCATTAATTCAGCTACAAATCCAATGTTCGGACAAATACCACTTCTACGATCCATTACGTAATCATATGCTCGATTTAAGGTCCAATGACGTGATTCGATGAGGAAGGCCAAAACGGCAGTCACAGAACGTGATTTTCCAGCCTTACAATGGACATATATAGGCATATTATCTTTTTCGGCTTGTTCTATTAACGTAAACAAAATTAATAAAATTAATAAAATTAATGAGTGAGTTTTACGTCATGAATTTACACTATGTATATGTATGAAGTACAATATGTATATGTATGAAGTACAATATGTATATGTATGAATGTACGAACCAATAAATGCGACAGCCCTTTTTAAACCGTTTTCTACGTCTTCTTCAACAGAATCCTTAACATCTAACTTGAGGTATTGATCAAATTTTTCATTTAAACCCAAAGTATCGGAACATTCGAAAGCCATATTCAAAATTCGTTTAATGCCTTTTGATTCTAATTCCTCCACTTCTTCCTGTTTGGAAATTTCCGGACCAAGGTAAAGAAAATTTGGAATAATGGTCGAAACCACGAAAGCAATTTCAGGATGTGTAACCGGTGGTGAGGTATTTGGAGAATTATTATCATCAAAATCTGTGTTTACCGCTCTCAATTGATTATTACCATTAGGATAATTATCACCATTATTAGGATAATTATTACCCAAATATAAAGGTTCACCTAATATGTTTAAATAAATTAAATAAATTAATTTAGTGATTAGAATAAATTTATTTATTACTTAAAACATATAGTGACTTAAAACACATAGTGTAGTGACTTACATAATCTTTTATCACCATTTGTTGGTGGGAAAAGATATTGCAAACCATTAGAAGGACGTCTTCTTTTCAGAGCATCAGTATCTTTTGAAATTTCAGTTGGTTGATTATTTTCTTCAATTTGAGACTCTTGCCGTTTATCACTTAATTTTCTCCTTAACGAGTTTTGTTCAGTATTCACGGAAAACAAAGAATCTCTACGAACCAAACCAGCACCACCTTGTGGTTGTTCTTGACCTTCAAGATCCATTAAAGAAGAATTATGGATAGAATTATCATTAACGGAAAAAGCACCAACATCAGGACCCGTGACTAAGAATTCCCCACGTTGATCCCATGAACGAAAAGCTTCAAAACCACCACGAAGCCAATAAACGCGTCCTTTAGGAGCATCATTAGTCTGATCAATGTTCTCAGAGGAAGAATTATAATGATAATTTAACATAGCGCGTTCCAAAACTCCTAATAAGGTCCAACCGGGACTAACTTTGTCATTTTCATCCATTGACTCATCAAAGATTATTACATCATGATTAAATTTTGTAGTATCTTGAACTTTATCGATATATCTATCACGTCCTTCAGGAGTTGTTATGAAAGAAACCAGAGAAAAGTTGCTCATATTTCCACGACGATAACGTTTAATAAGAAGGGTAGGAAGATTCACGTTGAAAGAATCGTGAATGTGTTGTTCTTGGTACAAAGATAAATTACGCACATCGATGAGAATAGGTTTAGAAGATTTACAAGAAAAAGATTTATTACAATCATCAAAATATTGAGAGCATTCATCATCAATTTTTGAGTTACGCGACGAGGAATCTCTTAATCTTTCAGCCAATTCAGCAGGGGAAATTGGTAAAGCTTTTCTACAATTTGAAGATTTTGGATGTCTAATATTGAATTTTCCTAATCTTGAAGGAGGTTTTGAAGATTGGGAAGGAGAGTTTATTGATAACGAGAAAGGAGATTTACCGAAAAGAAAAGAAGGTTTTGTAGAACTTGGAGAAGGTTGAGAAGCATTAGGAACAAGAAAAGGAGTATTAGCGGTAGAACCGGTAGGACTCTCAGAGCGTTTACGGATCGACCCACTACTTCCTTTTCGATGTAATAATTTTGGAGATTTTGGAGGTTTAGGAGATTGTGGAGAGGGTTTTGGAGAAGTAGGTTTTGAGGCTTTTGGGGAATTATTTGAAGATTTTTGGAATTTTAATAAAGTAGACTTATTACGGGCGGTAATACTAGTTCTTTGAAAAGCAGCAGTAAGAGCCGTGATAGGTCTGAGAACAAATCTCTTTGTGGGACTTTGAGGAGTACGTGGGGATTGTAATTCTAAAAAGGAATCACTTGAAGGACTAACAGGAGAAGAAACAGTCACGGTCGGTGAAGGAGGAGGAGGAATAATAACGGGGGCAGGTATTTTTGATAGACGCCTTTTACGATAACAAGCACCTTTTTCCGAGCCAAGGTGACTTCCAAACTCTGTGCTCATTATTTATTCTTGTTTGTTATAATGCAAATAAAGTATTTAACAGGTTTTTTTTTTTTTGTTTTCAAATTCTTCTATATATTCTCTATAATTTTTTTAAAGCTATTCGTAGGAAAGAAGGTACGTACGTACGAAAAAGAGATATTTAATGTATTTATAGGTCTTTAATTATTATTAATGAATTTAAAGCTTTTTGTTTATTTTGAAAAAAAGTTAAAAAAAAAAATGGACAGGAATGCTAATTTATTTATCTTGCAGGCTGAATTTTAATGCCGTATAAGCAATGGTACTACATGTGCTTCCAAAATTGTTAAACGAATCACTCAAGTTAAAAATAGTACGCACTAACAAACGACTAAAAATGGTAGATTTGCCAAAAACGATAAACATACTTTAATAAAGTTTTAAATAGTATCAAATTTGATATTAAAATAGATACAATAATGTTATGTTAATATACGTAATCCTGTATAAGGAGTGGCGTAGTGTGATGCAAAGTGCCATGTGCTATATTAATAGCATATGTAAGCGTAAGATGCATAATCCCAAAATCCAAAATCCAAAATCCAAAATCCAAAATCCAAAAGCCAAAATATCCAAAATTTCCAAAATTTCCAAAATTCCCGGATAATTTGACACCGTGACCCAAAGGTTTTTTAATATATATATTTGAATGTATATAGCTACATAGCTACATAGCCCGTACATTCCTATTGTTTATTGTATTTATCGTTATTTGCCTTTTTTTTTATTTTTTTTTATTTTTTTTTATTTTTTTTTAGATAAAAAGTTTTAGAAAACAGCGTTCTAAATCGGATTAAATCGGATTAAATCGGATTAATCGGATTATTCATCGAAAGAGTCTTTTCTTGTCATATCTAAGAATGGGAATGGGTACATGTTTTCTATATTTACTAAATTTACTATATTTACTATTAAAAGGAGTTAATTTAAATTTCGTCCCTATTTCTGTGATGATTAACTTCAATTTTTTTTCCCCTGACAGAATCGATACTTTGCAGTAAGATTATTTCTCCGATTATTCATTTTATAGTATTATCGATATCGATATAAATCAATCTCCATTAATGGTATACTTTGACAGACAAACGGATAATTTACAGACAAGGCTAAGCATATAAATTTGTGGCGGTTAATCCATAGCCATACCTAGCACCAAAAGATAAATATATATATAAATATAAAAATTTTTTTTACCTTTTTTTTACCTTTATAACCAAAGAATCTAAAAATAATTTCTAACAATCAATAGACCACAATTGTCTGTACAATGAAATAAACTGGGTTTTACTCCAAAATTTTCTTTTTAAACGAGAATCACACGAGATGGTGCTTATAATATACTAGACTATACTAGACTGTGCATCCCGTTTCCATCAAAGTAATTACTAGCCATTTTTATATATATTAGTAGGAAAAAAGGAAAATTGTTCAAAGATTAAAACCCTACTCGTTCACAATCGTGTTAATTTTTGACCAATTTTCTTTAAAAACTGCGGCAGGTCCTAAGCACCCGACATAAACATTTGCTTGTTCCGTTTTCATTGGGTAAAACTTTTTTCTCACGTTATAAAAAATCCGGTTCTATATTAAGTTTTTAAGTTCGGTACAGACTATCAGGTATGTTAGCAACTTATTCAACACTATAAATGCTAACCATATAAATAAATTAATGAAACAATTCCTAATTTGAACAAATTATTGTGCTCGTTAATTTAGTTAAAGTTACTAACACTAGAATTCCATGCATGTAACATAAACCAATAATCGTCATCACTCTGGGGTGTTTTTTTTTTTTATGATCTTACCGTTACTAGTTTACGCTCTTGTAAAAAATTTGTTTAACAATAAATTTAACTTATTTCATTTTCTCCATATGTTTCCTTGTTACTTCATAGTATCTATATCGGGTTGGTCAAATCTTGTCTTAAAAATATATATCTAATAATAACGATAATATTTATTGATAATATTTATTGATAATATTTATTGATAATATTTATTGATAATTATAATATATCGATATATGCAATAATTAATTACTGTCAATAAAAAAAAATCATATAACTGATATAACTGAAAATAAACTTCATCTGCATCGTAAATACGATATCAAAAAAAAGAAAAAAAATACAAATGATCGTTCTTTTGCTAATAATAAATAAATTATTATTGGACTGCAATGTTAGGCTAATCCTTAAATAAATATAAATCATGTTACTTTTAGATTTCATTTACAGTATTAATTCATTTATATATTTTATATATGTAATATATTAATATGTAATGTATATCGTTACGTACTATCGTATCGTTACGTATTTAGAAATTCAAAATTTTATTAACAGTTTTGTATTTGTTATTTTATTTTTTAATTAAACACAAAATTAGTACAAGGAAATTTAACGTTAACACTAACCCTTTTAAATTATAACACAAACAATATGGTTCTATTGTAATCGAAATTATGAAATTATTAATGACTAGTTTCTATCTTTTTTGATTTTTTTAAAAAATTTAAAAAATTTTTTTTTCTCCAAACTACCGGCTAATTATTTATCATAGTTAACTCAATATCATTCAAAATTATAATTTTGACTAGAATTGTCTTTTTGGTTTGAAATTTCGTTAGTTAAATTTATAACACTAGCTTGAATTAATTTTTTACTCATCAACAATTTCGTTAGCTACTAGCTTGAATTAATTTTACTGGTTATAATTGTTTTTTGATTAAGACTGTTATTGGTAGTATTTTATTAGAAATTTATGTATACCATAACAATGTTCCGAAATAGTGATACATAGATAAGACACTTAGGGATGCTCTAACCCGGCGTTTTTATTTGCAAAAGGTGAAACCCGAATTCTTAGTTACGTACCCTTTTGATGTAAATCACAACAGGATGAGTACTATGTTAGATGATGATCTGCATCTACATATGTATGTATGTTCTAGTTTCTATTTCTCTAACCGTAAAATTTTGCGGTAATTGCCGCGGATTCTCCTTAAAAATAGAAATTTAAAATGTAGAGAAGAAGACTATGTATTATAATTTAATCTTCAAAAATATATATCAAAAATATATAAATTATTTAAGGTTATGTGAGCTTTATATAGAACGGTTAAATAATTTTAGCGGATAAACCTTTTTCTAAATTTTATTTAGATTTTATTTTAAAATTTAACGTAACATAATGAATATACTTACCATAAATGATTATCGTTATAATTAAATTGCTAATATCGATAGCACGACAATTAATTTTATTTTTTTTAAACAAATTTTTATTAACGTTAAATGTTTGTTTATTGATTAGTTATTATCCTTCATCCGTTTTTTAGATTGATTTTAATAAATTATATTTACGTATAATTTTTTAGATAAAATAAAATAATCCATATTAATAATACGTATAATGTTAACTAATTTTAACCCGGACTGATGTCATCTGATTATTAATTTCTTTTTTAAAAATTAAATTAAATTACGTATTAAAGGTTAGGGCTAGTGTTAGATTAGGATTAATATATATATATATATATATATATATATATCGAGTACTAGAAACTGTTCTTAAAAGTTCAAAGCTAGTTTTTACAATTAAATTTTTGTGTTTTTTTTTTACTTTGGGGGGTTTTTAATTTTGGTTGTACAAAATTCTATTTCTTAAATCGTATAATTTAACACAATAAAACTATAAAAAAATTATTTTCTATAAAATTTTATTCTAATTGGCTTTGATAACTTTCACGAATTTAAGGCACATGGTATACTTCACAGTTGTAGTAAGGCTTGATTCGGCTTGTGTATTTATTAATTCTTATAAAAATTAATTAATGAATAGTCGATTGAGTCATTAGCATCTCTAAGTTGTAGTATTACATACTCGATATAATCTGAATAAAAAGATTTAAATTTATATAATCTCTGTAAATTATACTATACACCCAAATTATTGGATCATTCTATTATTTATACAAAGTTGATTATAAAAAATTTCTGTTATTATAAAAAAAATTCACATATAATAATTTTAAAAGATTTGATAATTGTTATATATAGATTTTCTTTTTAATATTAAATTTTATTGTAAAAATAATATTATAATTATCACAGTTTTCGAAATGGTTGAAAATGGCAAATATATATTTTTTTATGAACACACGGACACAAGAACACTCGATTACCTTAGCACGTTGATTGAAAACCGATGCCCAAATGATTATTGTTTCAACAATTACGTAAATTTGGCATCAACCTTCAATCAACGTGCTAAGGTAATCGAATGTTCGTATATTCGTGTGTTTACCAAAAACAATTTCGAAAACTACGATAATAATATATAATTAATTTTAAATATTAAAAATTTTGTAAAATAAAATTATATAGTGTTTAATATATAATATACTTTTATTAAACTTAAAAATAAAAGTTTTTTAATTTTAGCAATCTTGCCAGTATTTTTTATTAAAAATATTGTATAATTAATTATACAAGTATACAATATATTTAATTTATAGGTTTGATATCTCTTTGGATATTTAAAATAGTTTATTATACTAGTTTAAACTTTTCAAAACCAGAAACTAAATCTAATTAGCTAAGCAAACTATATTAAAATAGTTTGCAGTCATTTGTTTATTATTTTTTTTTATTACTAAAAATTATACTTTTTACTTTTTTTTAATTTAGCTATTTTGATTTCTTTATTGAGTATTTAGACTACTTGATAAATTACAAAAAATTTATCTTTATAGCTTTTATTAAATATAACTCTAATAGGATACATCTAGTTTATATTCAAGTATAATTTATTTTAATAAAATTTGACTTTTTTCAGATTTAAAAGCTTGATTTCTTTGGTTAATAGCTAGCATTTATATATCTAGCTATTTTTCAATAACTAAGTTTAATCTAATTTAATTAAACTACTTAATTGATTTATAATTAAACTAAAAAAAATAAAATAAAACATACTTT